TTTCTGGAACTACCTAGAGGGTAATGTCTAAAAGTGTAACACATTGGTTTGTGCATAGAATGAACAGTTAATGATGATATAAATATCTAAATATTTATAGTTATATATAAATTAAGATATTTAGGGACCCCTTCTCACATTTCTCCCTCTTTTCAGTTCTTTTCCTTGATCTCAGGTACCTAATTCTTGTTGTCTCATCTATATTCCTGGGAGGATTCTGGGGGAGGAAAGAGAATATAATAAGTCACTAATACCTTAGTATGAATTGGATCAATATATTTCTCCTTCTAGGAGCTTTTGTATTTAAAAGAGGATATGTGACAAGGAGAAACCCCCCCCAAAGATTTTTGAACAGTTAAATCAAGAGTGACACATGTCTCATGTCTCCGCTCTTAGGCTCTTATCTCAAAATCTCTCCTCTGGACTCTCAGGCATTGCAGCAGTGAGTGGGTATAAATACAAAGTTCCCTTCTGGGCCCCTCAAATAATGAATGCCTCGTGGAAAAGCCCTTGGATCCCAAGCTGAGAGGACAACTAGCACTTGGGTTTCTTTGACTTTTGCTTAGCATATGGGCTCTGAAGGGTCAGGGATGGGTGTCTCTTTTCTCATCCAAGGCTTTTCTTTACTCCTGCCCTTAGCTCTTTCCTCCACCTGGAGTCAGCACTTGCTGGGAAGCTTACAAGTGAATGTATCAGAAAGTTTTGGAGGTGGCTGTTGGAAGAAGGTACATGTGCTTCCATCGAAAGATAATATGAAACTTGAGCCATCAGTGTCTAATTTTGGGTGCCATGTTTCAAGTTGTGCATGCTAAGCCATTTGGTCCCATACTAGTCGGACATATGCATTGTGAATCACAGATTCTCATTTAATATGTGTAAGTTTGTGTGTGCTTCAATGTGTACATGTTGATTGGGTTATTGACTTTACAGTGTCCCTGCCCTTCAAGAGGGCAGGGAGAGCCCTGAGAGAATGTTTCATTTGTCTTTGAATGCTCATCAATGCCTACCCGGCAGAGGGCCTCACACACATAGCCATTGAAAGAAGATTTATAGAATAGATGAAAGAATTTCTATTGAAGTCAGCCAGGCTCAGTTGAGCCCAACTTTTTACAAAGAGGTTTTGCTGAAAAAACACTGGAAGTTCTAACATTCTAAAGGTATCCCAGGGATAAAATCGGCCAATTAAGAAAAGCCAGTGTAGCAAGGCTCCCAGTGGGAACCTAAGCTGCAGCCATCCATTGTAAGGAACTTAGATGATCAGGGCCTAACAGGCAGGCTGGCAGACCTCCCAGGAGAGAGGAGCCTCCTGCATATGAACCTCCTACTGCAAAGGGGGTTAAGCAGGCCAACATGGCCCCATGAACAAGCCTCAGTCATCAGTGGGGAATTGCGACTCCAGAGACAGCACAATGCCACTTGGATTTGACCCCAGATCATCTCTAAACGTCCAAAGACATTAAGAAGTCACCTGATCACGCTCACTCACTAGGCAGCACAGCTTAGAGCCCAGGTTTTGAGGTCACCATACACTGGGTCTAAGTTCTGGCTGTACCTCAATAACTGTGTGACCTCAGGCAATTAACCTCCATTTCCTGATCTATCAAACAGAAATGATAAGTACTACCCCACCAAGTTGCCGTGAGGATTAAATGAGAGGATACATCAGTCACTGAGCACTGTGCCTGGCACTAGAAAATACTCAATGAATGATGGTCATCATCATCATCGTCATCAAAGCCGACCCTAATAAAGTAGTTGATTTATAAAGCTTCTTCCAGTTGTAAGAGTCCTTAACAGTTCCATGACTATGATGTTAATTTCTAGAACAATTAGATTGAATGATAAAATCAATCAAATGAGTTTTTCAGATAAAGGCTGAATGGCATATTATAATGGCCTAATGATGAATGCATTTATCTCAAGAAGGTTTGAGATAATGTTCTCCTAGCAAGCATCCTTTCTTTACCAAACTCACACTGCATGGCACCATCTCCCACTGCTGGTATCAAAGGAGTTTGCTCTCTGCAGTTTATAAGTTTGTGGATCTAAATCAAACCCACAAGTCTGCTCTGGGAATGCATGTTTAGGACAGATATGAATCACAGCCCTGGGCTATTTCTTTGTCTTGGAACATTTTCCATGAAAGTATTCTTTTCACTTTGTTGAAGGACAGGATGTTCCAAATCAGTGAAACAGTTTTATTTATAAAATGGAATGGATGAGGTGACATCAATGAAAATGGCAGAATAAGAATCTCCAAAAACCTTCTCCTCCATAAAAGCAATGAGAACAAAGGCAAAAGTTGTCAGAATCAACTGCCTTGTGGTATTTCACATACCAGCCTGCTTATCCTGCAAGATGCCTAACCTGAACTAAAAGCAAACTATTTTTAATTGAATCTCTCTTTACTAATAGTAAACAAATCATTTGTAACTCATGGCATTCATTTACAGCACATACTTCAAAGGAAACACAATATCACCCAGTGGGATAAAAAAAAACAAAAGTGTGGGCCGGCCCCGTGGCTTAGTGGTTAAGTGCGTGCGCTCTGCTGCTGGCAGCCCGGGTTCGGATCCCGGGCGCGCACCGACACACCGCTTCTCCGGCCACGCTGAGGCCGCGTCCCACATACAGCAACTAGAAGAATGTGCAGCTATGACATACAACTATCTACTGGGGCTTTGGGGGGAAAAATAAATAAATAAAATCTAAAAAAAAAAAAAAAAAAACAAAAGTGGTATCTTGACTGCTTGCTGCCAAAGCCAACTATATGCATGCATTTATCTCCATTCCTCCCCATCAAGTAAAAAAGACATAACTATCTCCTCCCCCTCACACATACACACACACACACACACACAAAGAGCCAAGAGAAGCGACAACAGCCAACAGAGATAACATAACACTGGCAACTGGCTTATATCCCAGGCAGGAGGCTAAGAAGTCATTTTGAAGCAACTGACATGTCCAAGAGAGCAGGCCTACAGATATAAACATTCATGGGCTACTGAAAAGAAAAGCCAAGTCCTCATCCCACCAGTCTGCTGTGAAATCCACCTGGAAATAATCCCCAGCTGTATTAGTTTCCTGTGGCTGCTGTAACAAATTACTTAATTAAAATTTGATGGCTTAAAACAACAGAATTTTATTCTCTCATAGTTTTGGAGGCCAGAAGTCAAAAATCAGTGTCGTTGGGCCAAAATCAAGATGTCGGCAGGGCCATGCTCCCTCTGGAGGCTCCAGGGGAGAGTATGTTCCCCGCCTCTTCCAGCTTCTGGTGGTGGCTGCCTTCCTTGGCTTGTAGCCACATCGCTCCAGTCTCTGTCTCTGTGGCCACACTGCCTTCTCCTCCCTTCTCAAATCTCCCCCGCCTCCCTCTTATAAGGACACTTGTGACTGCATTTAGGGCCCACTGGATAACCCAGGATAATTTCTCCGTCTCAAGGTCCTTAACGTAATTACATCTGCAGAGTTTCTGCCATATAAGGTAACAATCATAGGTTCTGGGGATTAAGATATGGACACATCTTTGGGGGACATTATTTGGCCCACCACACCACCCACATACAGAAAGTTTTCTATCAGACTTTTAGTTTCTCACTCTTAAGTGCTAGTGAGATCAAAATTTTTTCACCTTTATTGGATATCTGAATCTCGTGTACTATGAATTGTCCATTCATAGCCTTTATCTGTTTTACTTTTCTGTTGATATTTTTCCTATAGATTAAGAGAATTTTAGATAAGGCCATTAACACTTTATCTGCCATATGTGTTAAAAATACTTTTCCTAATTTGCATTTGCCTATTAAATTTGTTTACAGCTTGTTTTCTGATGCAGAAAAAATTTAAAATGTTACGTAATCAAATTGAATACTTCTTTTCCTTTGCAATTCCTCCATTGCTATTATCTCAGAAAATCTGCCTTATCCTAAAATTAGATGTATGCGAATATATTTTCTCCTGGTTTTATGGTTTCAAAAGTATTTAATTCTTTAATCAGTATGAAATTTATTTTAACATGTGGTATGAAGAATCCACCTTAAGTTTTCCAAATTATTTAATCAATTGTCTAGCACAAAATCTCTCTTCCTTTCCCTACTGATCCGTCATCCTATCTTTATCAAATACAAAAACCTTACATGTTCTGAGTGTGTTTCTGAGCTCTGTTCTATTATCTCAATTCCTCTTTCAGATGTTTGTTGTCTTTTTCCCCGAGTTTCTGGCTATAAATAAATAACTATAGTCCATCAAACTACTCCAAAATAATTTCATATTTTCTCATCCTTTCAAAATGTGTATATAATTATTTTTTTGGCATCCTAATCATCAGTTACTTGTCTAAAAGAGTTCATTTTTATCATAACACATATACATGTATCTAGATATTTTTAGAAACAGGAAAGCATTTCCCCATTTGTGAAAGGAAAGAAACTAGAGATACTTTCTCTTTTTGCTGTTAATGCAATGATCTACTGAATCTCTCTAATGATTTAATTAATTAGTAATTCAACAAATACTATATGTCAGCCATTTTTCCAGGTGCTAGGTATACAGGACAAAACCAGACAAAAATCCCTGCCTTCAGAAAGCTTACATTCTAGTGGGGGAGACAGATAAAAACAGGATAGATAAAAATTTAAACGTAATGTAGCAGACAGTGATGAGTGCTATGGAGAAAAGTAAACCAAGGATGGGGGACAGGAAATTCTGAACAGATGACTAGAAATTACCTCACTGAGAAGGCGATATGAGTCAAGACCTAAAGAAAGTAAAGGAGCCTTTACTTTTCTTCTATAACTTGACACAAATGGGTTACTTACATTGAAATCCCTAGTATATCTTCAGATTTAATGATTTAGTATATCTCAAATCAATTACACTAATAATTCATTGCTTATCTACTACAATGAGCAAAATGTTAATCTTGATATATCAAAAGGAGTCAATGCATATTTTAAACACCGAATTCATCCTAAGTTAATCGTCTACAATATACTTACAGGAGTGAAGCAGCCTGTTGGAAATCGTTGAACTGAAGAACGAAATACAAAGCTCCTATATTAAAAAACAACAAAAAAAACAAATGATTTGGTAAATCTATTTGTTAATGTGAGGAGCTTTGTTAACCTATTCCCTATCTCTCATTAAATATTTTAAAATGCTCTTCTGGATATGACGGGCATAATTGAGGTTTAAAAGCCGTTAGTATTGGTTGTTAAGTATGTAAATGGAAAGGCATGAGTGAAATTATTAAAAGGAACTTAATAAGTAGATAATTACCTGGAAGCGTACTTGGGAACTGGTGCAGGAAGTAGCTCGTACTGCCCTGGTGAAAGCTTAACCGACTACACAGAACGGACAAGGACACCAATAATAGATTAATACAGGCTTAAATCCACTTTATCGTCTGTCATTTATAATCCTTTATTCTACGACCATACAGCATTATATCATTTATTCTCTATTTTAATAGTGGAAAAGGTACATTTTCAAAGGTGGAGCTTCAAAACCTTCAACAGATACTCACTTTTCATGGTGAATTTTATGACAGTATGCCTGAGAGGATGCATAGAAAAATGCTATACAATTGATCATATTTTAAATGTACTAGATTTAACAAATCAATTCAACCACCATTTAGTGAGTCTGCTCTGTGGGTAAGGAAGTGTGCTAGGTGGTGGAGAATACAATGGTAAGAGAGATATGGTCCCTGACCAGCAGGAGTGAAAAGGCAGGTACATAAACAAGTCTATTATAAAACACTATATCAATGCTAAAGGACAGATTGGAGATTTGGGGGGTAGGGAGAGATTAAATCCAATTGGGTGACCCAAAGCTAACATCACATACTCAATAGTGAAAAGCTAAAAGCCTTTCCTCTAAGATCAGGAACAGGGTAAGAGTACCCACTTTCTCCATTCCTATTCAACATAGTACTGGAAGTCCTAGTCAGAGTAATTCGGCAGGAAAAAAAAATTAGAGACATCCAAATTGGAAAGGAAGAAGTAAAATTGTCCCGGTTGCAGATGACATGATCTTGTATATAAAAAATCGTAAAGATTCCACAAAAAAACTGTTAGAATAAACAAATTGAGTAAAGTTGCAGGACACAAAAACAACATACAAAAATCAGTTGAGTTTCTATACACTTAACAGTGAACTATCTGAAAAAGAAATTAAGAAAACAATCTCATTTATAATAGCATCGAAAACAATAAAATACCTAGGAATAAATTTAACTAAAGAAGTGAAAGATTTGTACACTGAAAATTATAAGACACTGATGAAAGAAACTGAAGAAGACACAAATAAATGGAAAGATATCCCATGTTCGTGTATTGGAAGAATTAATATTACCAAAATATCCATACTACCCAAAGCACTCTACAGATTCAGTGCAATCCCTATCAAAATTCCAATAGCATTTTTCACACATATAGAAAACACAATTCTCTCTTTTTTTTTTAAATAGGTCTGAACTTTTTTTTCTTTTGAGGAAGATTGGCCCTGAGCTAACATCTGTTGCCAATCTTCCTTTTTCTTTTTTTCTTCCCAAAGCCCCAGTACCTAGTTGTGCACCCCAGTTGTAGGTCCTTCTAGTTCTTCCATGTGGGACGCCACCCTAGCAAGGTTTGAGGAGCAGTGAGTAGGTCCACGCCCAGGATCCGAAGCAAAACATGCGAACTTAACCACTACACCACTGGGCCAGCCCCAGAAACAACAATTCTAAAATTGATATGGAACCACAAAAGACCCCCAATAGTCAAGGCAATCTTGAGAAAAAAGAACAAAGCTGGAGGCATCACACTTCCTGATTTCAAACTATATTACCAAGTTATAGTAATCAAAACAGTATGGTACTAGCATAAAAACAGACACATAGACCAATGGAACAGAATAGAGAACCTAGAAATAAACCCACGCATATACAGTCAACTAATCTTTGACAAGGGCACCAAGACTACACAACAGGGAAAGTACAGTCTCTTTAATAAATGGTATTGGGGAAACCGGATATCCACATGCAAAAGAATGAAACTAGATCCCTATCTTACACCACTCACAAAAATTAACTCAAAATGGATTGAATACTTAAATGTAAGACCTGAAATGATAAAACTCCTAGAAGAAAACATAGGGAAAAAACTCCTTAACCTTGGTCTTGGCAATCATTTTTTTGGATATGACACCAAAAGCACAGGCAATAAAAGCAAAGATAAACAAGTGGGACTACATCAAACTAAAAATCTTCTGTACAGCAACGGAAACCATCAACAAAACGAAAAGGCAACCTAAGGAAATGGAGAAAGTATTTGCAAACCATATATCTGATAAGGTGTTTATATCCAAAATATATAAGGAACTCATACAACTCAATAGCAAGAAAACAAATAATCCAATTTAAAAATGGGCAAAAGACCTGAATAGACATTTTTCCAAAGAAGACACACAAATGGCCAACAGGGACATGAAAAGGTGCTCACCATCACCAATCATCAGGGAAATGCAAATCCAAACCACAGTGAGATAGCACCTCACACCTGTTAGAATGGCTATTATCAAAAAGACAAGAGATAAGCGTTGGAGAGGATGTGGAGAAAAGGGAACACTTGGACACGGTTGGTGGGAATGTAAATTGCTGCAGCCACTATGGAAAACAGTATGAAGCCTCCTCAAAAATTAAAACTAGAACTACCACATGATCCAGCAATTCCACTTCTGGGTATATATCCAAAGGAAACAAAAGCAGTACCTGGAAGAGACACCTGCACTTTCTTAATTTTATTTATTTATTTATTTTCCCCCAAAGCCCCAGTAGATAGTTGTATGTCATAGTTGCACATCCTTCTAATTGCTGTATGTGGGACGCAGCCTCAGCATGGCTGGAGAAGCGGTGCGTCGGTGCGCGCCCGGGATCCGAACCCGGGCCGCCAGTAGCGGAGCACGCGCACTTAACCGCTAAGCCACGGGGCCGGCCCGACACCTGCACTTTCATGTTCATTGCAGCATTATTCGCAATAGCCAAGACATGGAAACAACCTAAGCGTCTAATATATATATATAATAGATATTCTATATATATAATAGATATATATGTGGATATATATATAACATATATATAATGTAGTAGAATCTTATTCAGACATAAAAAAGAAGGAAATCCTGCCATTTGCAACATGGATGAACCTGGAGGGCATTATTCTAAGTGAAATAAGCCAGACAGGGAAAGACAAATACTGTTTTGTGTCACTTATATGTGGAATCTAAAAAGGTCGTCCTCATAGAAACACAGAATAGAATGGTGGTTGCCAGGGGCTGGGGGTTTGGGGAAATGGGGAGATGTTGGTCAAAGGGTACAAAGTCTCAGTTAGAAGATGAAAAAATTCTGGGGATCTAAAGTACAGCATGGTGACTATAGTTAATAACACTGTATTGTATACTTGAAAATTGCTGAGAGTAGATCCTACGTGTTCTCACCATGTACACCAAAAAATGGTAACTATGTGAGGTGATGGATGTGTTAATTAACTTGATTGTGGTAATCATTTCACAATGTATACATATATCAAATCATCATGTTGCACACCTTAAATATATACAATTTTATTTGTCAATTATACTTCAGTAAAGCTGGGGGGAAATAATTAAATAAATCCCACTGGGTGATCTAAAGACAGTCAAGACAGTGAAATTTGAGTGTGGTTGTAAGGAAGGTGGGACCTCCTTGAGGGGAGCAAGGGAGGGTATTCTAAGAAGAAGGAACGTTACAAAAGAGACTGTCTCTCTGCCCATTGTCAAACTTGTTGCAAACTACCTGGGTGGCTCCATCGTCCCTGGGTCTGGGGACACTAGCCCAGAGGTAGGTGAAGTAAGGCAGTATCAGGAACTGGTCAGCATAGAGGGTGGGATATCTGAAGGAAGGGAGGGAGAGAAGGAAGGAGAATGAGAAGCCAGGGGAAGACTGACCGGACCTCCAGAACTTCGTATGTTGAAGGAGCTGGCAGGGAGGAGTTATATTACAAAATCCTAGTGAGACTCCTTCCCAAAGTGCACAATCGCCCCCCATTCCCTATTATTTTAAAATCAGATTTAAAAATACAATACTGCGTTTGCTGAAAATGAGGCATCCGTATCCTGGCATTATCTGCCACATGGGAGTTCAGCTATTCTACTTCACGCTGCAGCTGTCTTGACAATTTTGATTGCAGAGACAGCTTTTTGTGGATACAGTGATAATAACAGTAAATACAAACTTTATGATGAAATACACACATTGCCCTGATGCACCTGTGCCTTGTTAATTGCTCACTTGACATAATAAACACCAAGGAAACACAGGTATCTTTTATCATACCATGGAAGCACAGAAATGTATTGTAAGCAGGGGGCTTTTTGGGGAGCTACAACATTCTGTTTCTTGATTTTGATGATGGTTACATGGGTGTTTGCTTTATATTTACTTTAAATTATGCATATATGCCTTATGCTCCTTGCTCTCTCTCTCATGCACATATACACACATACACAGAAGAAGAAGACAGACAACTGAAAAGTGAAAAAAAACCTTAAAGCAGCTGTTAATTCATCTATACTCAGCCATCACATACGATTTTTGTAATGAAGTACTCGTGGAAAAACTCTTAGACAGCATTAAGTCTAGGAAGGAAGATTGGTGACCCACAGCTTCTATATTTGTCCTACTTGAAGTCACTCTTTGAGAGTTCAGCCTCAAAAAATATCTGCTAAATGAGCCAACTTTGAGGGCCACTTTTTTCATTTAAATGCACAATGAATTGTTCCATCTTGTCTACGTTTTGCTCTTTATTATCCCAACATTTAAGTCTTGAGTTCCCTGCAGAATTACTTGCCAGCCCCTTTTTGGGCACAAGGTTTCTCTCTGTTGATACCTTCTCAGTGGAAAACTATCCTGCTGAAAATTCCTCCAGCCATTCTTTTACCATGGAGCACTTTGCAAATTAACATGTCCTCAGAGATATCCATCACCACAGCTATAAACACAGCTAACAAGGATCAATGAATCGGCCAGATTTTCTCAACCTCAGTCTCCCAATCAGCTGTTCAAGGGTGTCTTTTGAACACATTAAAATGGATCCTCTGATTCATTCTTTAAGTTAATAGGGGTGCCTTTGCAGCCTGGCTACCTCCTCTTGACCTAAAACAGATGCTGGGGGGTGGGGGAGGCAAAATCACCAGATTTGTTTCCTTTTATACGAGCTTCCAAGGCAATGCTAAAACTAACCCGGATAGAAGTTTGAGGCAATTTCAAATGTTGTTTAATTGTGATTTTCATTGAAATGCTCCCAATCTAGAACGTGAAGATTGT